TAGTAGTAGTAGTAGTAGTAGTAGTAGTAGTAGTAGTAGTAGTAGTAGCACTAGTACTAGTAGCACTAGTACTCGTAGCACTAGTACTAGTAGCACTAGTACTAGTAGCACTAGTAGTACTAGTGGCTGTAGTAGTGGTACTAGTGGCAGTAGTAGTAAAAGTAGAAGAAGTAGCAGTAGCAGTAGCAGTAGGAGTAGTAGTAGTAGTAGTAGCAGTAGACCAGCCATGTCTTGAGCTTGTTTGGAAGATATGATACAAGTGGGGCACTGGTTTCGTAGCACAGGTTCGTCTACATTTACGTTATCGTTTGGTTATCGTTTGACTACAGCTACATTTCGGACAAACCTGTCGCCAAAGTCCGAAGTCAAAAACGGTTTGGGAAAGGCTACACTAAGCAGAAACGAGGTTCCCTGATGGTCTTCATGGTTAAAAAGCGGTCCTGCAGCTATGCAAACTAAGCTTTCCTATAATTAAACATGATGCTATCAATATGGTATCGGTTTTGATGAGTCTATTATCGTTCTCCAAGTAAAATGCAAATTCTGCAATCCCAATGTCGGGTCCTTTACTAAATAGCTTTCCGTAAATAAATCAGGTTGCTCATATAGCATGCGTACTGGCCAGTGGGATCCTTGTTTGGGTTACGTGCCATTTGCCACTGAACAGTGTCCTGCCAGCATTGAACGCCCTCTTGCTGTGATATAAGATATAAGGAGGCTATTTGTTGATAGGGAAACTTGCAATTTCTGGACGGAGTGTGTCGATCTCGGAAATTAAAATTATCTGTCCACTCCAAATTGATCCAAACTGAAGAGAAATACAATAACCAAGGCCAAGGACCCCTCCTTGAGGGCGTCCCACAATGACAAGAAACATGACCCCAGCCCCAACACCAAGCTGTATGCCCCTTGAGCATCCACTACCCTCCTCCGAGAGTCTGGGTTTCTCACCTGCCTGCGCGGCTGTTCGTAGTCAATGGCTCCCGGCGACAAAGCCTGCCTCAACTGGCAGGGTTCTTCGCCCGGAATGCACCGAACGAACTCCCTAAGTCCAATCCCCGTGCGCATGACTTCTTTTCGATCTGCTTTCGAGTGTTGGGTGCTGTTCAGCAGCAAGGAACTCGCTGGAAGTCCAAGGTAAAAAAATCTGATTCGCTTGTTCAAACCTCCTCACATGCACGAATGCCGGGGACAAGCAAACCATACCATCTTGGCCAAATGGCTGCAGGGTGTAGATCTGCGACTTGCTGAGGAACTCGGGAATCACCTCGAATGCACGAGCACGAGCTGCCGATTTCTTGAGGCAAAGGCAAACTGCAGAACGGTTCTGGTCATTTTAAGTATAGGGATCGAGATCTCCCACATCCCCCTGGAAGAAGGGACATAGAACAAACCGGTTGGCTGGGTGTCTCCCTATCTAAAAGGTTGACCAAATGATTTGGGGGGAGCAGTGGGTAGTACCAAGTTTTCACCTCCCTTCAAAAGGGCTGTGATCCATGGACTTCTAGTATGGCGCAAGCAAGACGTTGGTACACCAGATTGGAATGCCATGGAAGGCCCCACGTGAACAGGACCATGGTAATCAGGCCTGCAACTTCACACAACCAACCGGTTAAACAACGTACAATGATGCTCACACGAAGGTAAATCCAACGTATAGTACAATGAATGAAACCCACTGTGCGGGCACTGTGCTTTGCTGTATCTTGGCCCAGCTGCAGCTCAGTCGCCAGCAATGTGGTATCCTCATCGGCCATGCGCGTCACACATGGAAAAAAGCAAAAGGACTTGGAACATCTTGGAACTGATGGAAGCACTGTTGACCGTTGATAGTTGATAGAAGTGTACCAAGCCTCCAAGCCTGGAACCTTTCTGGAACCCTAGACGGCTACTCTGTAGACATTACAACAAATGAGACAAAACATGAAACACATGGATTCATCACAGATTCATCACACGCATCCACTTCTCAAACAGGCTTGTCCAACAGTAACTTTACCCAGCAAGTCCAAAGGACGGGTTAAAAGGACGCATTTCACCTCCCAACTTCCAAGACCTAATGTTCACAGGTTTTTCACGGCCTTTCACCCTGTTTTCACAGGTTTTTCACGTCCTTTTCACGGGTTTTTCACGGCCTTT